AATATTCACAGGCTGTTTGCACCTTGAGGAATTTTTTCTTTTAAGTAGTATTTGTTTTTGTTTTTCAAATGAAATATATATTTAAAAGAAAAAAAAAGAAGAAAGGGAAAGAAAAAAATAAATATTTTACTTGATGACCTTAAGTGTGCTGGAACAACTTATTTATTTAGTAGAATACAAAAAGTCTTTTTTAAATGAGATATGAACAAAATATTGGTTAAAATTTGTATTTGTGTTGTGATGCTGTTTGTTGATTATTTGAAATTATATTGTGTATTAAGTTGAGTTTTATTACTTGTATGCTGTACGTTTTTTTAGATACATATATTTTTTTAATTGGGGACAGATGTTATAAGGTTTTATTCTTTCTGCTCCTTTTCATTTGACTACGTTGTAATTGTCTTTTTGACACAACGATGATGTATTATTTGTTTGTTCTATTATTATTTGTTTGTTGTTTTATTGTTTGTTTTATTTGTTTGTTGAATGAAATAAAGTTCTAATCATAAAAAAGTGTGGAACAATTATTGCATTATATAATATAAACAGTGCTTTATCATTAAGTAAATCCTTTACTTTGTACAATACTGCAATGGATTTGAATATAACTGGACTTGAATATAATAACTGATTATCATATAATTAGTCATATATTTAGTGATAATTTACTAAATTTATTATCAGCCAATCTCCGATCTCCCAAACATAGGGAAATGGGTGCACCTCTAATTTAAACAGCACAAGGCCACTTTGTGGATTCTGMAAAGCTACATGTGGACAGAACAGAATGTGATTGTTGAGGTTAGAGCTTCAAAGATCATGACTGACACATACTGATGTCTCACTAATGAATGTGCCTGTTGACATCACAGTTATTTATGTCTTGATGGTCTCTTTAATTAGGGTGGTGGTGCAGAATGCCAATATGTAATTCAGTTCCTTCATAAGAAGAATAGGATTTTTTAAATAATTTTTATCATTAGCTCATGTTAAACTCACAGGCCTATTTGAATTTTACAGGTGGTTGCATCTGTCAGATGTTCAAGTGTTCAATCACTTAAAATCAAGCTTTCTGAGATTAAAACCCTCAACATGCATCTGGTTCTTTAAACCCATCTTTCCTTGCTTGCCTTATAATTTAGCATAAATTAATTTGTCCTTAAAGAGAACTGAAAGCAAACAAGATGGTCAGAGATTTCCTGGTTACTCGTGGTGTTTTTAGGATACATAAAAAGACATCGATGTTACATTTTTAAAAAATTGTTACATTTTAACAAAACTAGCCGTAATTATTTTCCATCCTGAGAACCACAAGACATGCATCCTTAAATTACACTTACATGTTGCTGTCTATCAGACAGGATCTTCCAGAGGCGAGGGAAAAGCTGAACCCAGGACTTCTCAGCCAGTGGTGTGGAGATGTGACAGAGCTGGACTAGGGCATTCAGAAGAGCCCCCGTCTGTCAAAGAAAAGAAAATAATTCTAATTTAATACTTAGCAGAGCAGAGGTTTGGATCACTGGCCTTCAGAACTCAAAGATTCTTCAAATCATGTTCATTATTTTGGGAAGCGTCACAGAAGCTCTACCACCAAGTCAGCCTAGAAACGGATCAATCTCATGCCTGTCACGTGGGCACACACGCACACACGGGTATTCTTGCTTTATTATCCATGAAGATCATTTCTGCTCCTCAGTAAGAAGTGCTTATAATGAAAACCCTGACGACGCAAGCTTCATTAACAGATTTCTGTACCGTGAAAAAGTGAACGACAGCCATGAATGAGACCCTGCTCTAGTTGCTGCATTATGATCAAACAAGTTACTGAAAATCATTAACGTGCCCAACACTTTGAGCAGTGCACTGGACACAGAACAGCTCAACAACTGGAGCACCTCTGACCCATGCAGCATCATCCTTTCAGCGAAAGGGAATGTACGCTGTGCTTCCTGGTTGAGCGAGGAACTTTTCCTCCCACAGGAAATCAGAGAAAGCACTGAGGTGGCACCRGTAATTTTACTCTCTAATGTGGCTGCAAACTGGGAGGGGACAGGGGTTTAGCCTTCAGAATAGAATCAAAACAGCTACGAAAAGCTGCCAGTCATTGCAACCTATTGACCAGAATGTATTTTAGGAAGTACTTGATCTGCTTTTTTACTGTAATGTAAATGTACATTTTTACAATTTTGTCTGATTTTGTTTATTTAACTGCGGAGAGTCAGAACAATACATGAGGGTAAACTTGAACAAATTTAGCTGAACATTATATCGGAAAGAGCAGACTGCGCACACAGTCATCAAAAAATATCTGTTTCTGGATAAAAGTGAAGGTGGAGCAGYTTCTGGGTTTGGTTTCACAAGCAAGCACTTCCACAAGTGTGACATATCTGTTTCGAGAGTCACTTTACTAAAAAAATATATACTCAGTATTATAATAATGCTTGAATAACAACAGGGTCACAAAATGTGCTTTCTATATAACTTCTTCAACACATAAAAACAGTTGGTGTGGGGGGTATGTGTTTTCCAGGCACAACGTTTAATTCTATGTGACAATTAGKGCTGGGCGGTATGACCTCAAACTCATATCACGAAATTAATCAAGTAAAAATGTTACCTTCTCATGAAATGCTGTGTTTTTGAAAAATAAATCTGACTTTGCATTACAGCCTATCTAAATGTCTTGAAATTGGCTTCKGTTTCTTTAAGAACCTCCTACCATTTCTGACACTCCCACAACRATGCGGTAGTCTCCTACATTTCCTTGATGAAGGCACTTTTTAATCAGAAAAGGACTGGACTRAGAAGTAATTCGTATTACAAGGGAGGAGCTTTGTGTAAAAAGGCGGTGCTTTGTAYCAGYGAGCGTTTAGGCAGCTCCACATGGCYACCACTGGAGATTCAAKGATTTCTCAAAMATGCATGAATGAGTCAAAGCAACACTCTGGGTATGTTTTTGATGAKGGAATGACATCATAACACTTAAAAAAGTATATTTTGCATAATTCACCTCCCCTTAAAGTACAAAAAAAWGAGTAAGACCTGGGTAGTAGTAAGAGTTAGTTCCCACAGCAATTAATAAATTCCAGACAGTTTTATTAATCTAAACATTGTACAAAACAGACAGATATCCTTACCTTGACTTCCCGTAATGAGTCAAGGAATTTGTCGTGGCGGTTGGTAAGCATGTGCAGTTGGTTGCCTGTGTCTCTCTCAGCCTGCTCTTTGGTCTTAGGAATGGTTGTCTGGTCACTTGGTGCTAATTCAATGTCAATCTCCACTTCCTACATAGAAATTTTAGTACAAAAAAAAACATTGTCTGTTTATAAATTGGACAACTTCTTAGGCTCCTTCATAAGCAAGTGATATTAAACAGATTTTTATTACTGTCAGAGCGGTTCTATTGTTTCCAGACTTCTAATGGAAATATTTATGTGTAGCACACTGTCAAGAGTGCATGTGCGAGTCCCACCTCTTCTTTGGTCTCGCTGTTTTCCCTTTCGCGTGGCTCCTGTTTGACGTGTGTTGCCATGGCAAAGGCTGCACGATCATGACTGTCGGCCAGGTTGATGACGTTGGTGATAGAAGGCAGCATAGATCCCTGGCAACTGGTGCCGATGATTGTGTTTCGTTCACACACTGCCAACAGCAACTAAAACACAAAAACAGGTGAAAAATGCAAAAACACAGGTCTGTGACGTGAAAGCTTCGACAGCTTCTAAAGGGTGTAAAAAACACTGAACTTATTCAATGTGTCAACAACACAATCTATTCAATGCAGAGTCAATGGCTTAAAGAACACAGAAGTGTTTACCTCAATGCACTGTTTGATCCAGAAGTGGCTGCCCATTGCCTCCCAGTTCTGAGAACAGCTGATGTACAGGAGCCTTTCATAAACGCGGCGCTTCATAGAGGCATCGAACACCTCAAAAAACTTGGCCCTGATTAACGGCTGAGTGCAGCGAAGCCCTGAGAGGAACGCTGGCTCAAGTTTGGATGTGATGTCACTTCCTGAAAGGCTCTCATCCCTTTAAAAGGTGAAAAATGTAATAATTTTGTGAGATGGTGGCTTTTKTCCAAAAATAAATAGAAAAGAAAAAGCACAACAAAAAACTTACATATTTTGAATGTCTCAAAACTAAACTGCATTAAAAGCAGCAGAGATTGGTAAAATTACGACGTAATGCATTTATTACACACTAGTGAAACAAACAGGTTTTAAAATTAAGACTTGATGTGCTTTTACATTTCGTAAAGGTTGGCTTTTCCTTCTCGTCCGCCATTATTTTCGTTGGCTTATGACCAAATACTCAGAAGTGTTTTAATCAAATAAAATATTTTTGCTGATCATCATATATTAAACAAAATGTAAGAAAGTTTTTGCAGAATCACAATGGAGGAACAATAAAACATATATTAAACAAAATGTAAGAAAGTTTTTGCAGAATCACAATGGAGGAACAATAAAAACTAACATGAAATGTACAGCTTAATTCTGAAGTCTTTCCAAAACAAAATATATATTTTTWAATTTTTTAATTCAACTCCAAAAACTCTAACAGTATGAAGAAAAGGTTTAATAACAAAGAAGAAAGCTGCTTAGATTATATTGCTGTGCTGTTAAATTCTTTATTGGCCACTGAGCTGGAGAGTTCAATTTAGTTTCATCTCATAAACCCCAAAAACATWATTCTTGCTTGTTGTTTTGCAGGTGTTCATTTTGGACTCTCCTTATCTGCATTTACAAATTATTAGTTTTGTAAATGAATATTTGTTTTTTTTAAACAAGTAATTTCCATTACAGAGAGCAAATGCATGAGGATTTCTTTTTACAATYGTTTAGCTAAACTAACCTTTTAACAGAATGACTGTCAAGAAAACAAATATTTGTAGCCAGCTCAAATTATTTTTCTTATTACTTTACAGATTATCTTGGGATGGGATTAAAAAGGTTATATTAAAAAACAGATAGCAAGCCTTAAGAAAAAAGGTTATTTCATCATCACAAAACTGTTAACTTATGTAAATATCTATTAAGTTGAGGGAAAACAGCTAACAGTAAATATTAAGGAAAATTCTGCGTCTTTGATAAAAGCCTGTTCTGATAGTTAAATTATTATAGGTTTTAGGCCACAAACATTGTTTCTGTATTAACTAGCTGGACAAATTTGTGGAAACCATTCACACAGCAGAGGAAGCAAATGAAGCTGAAGTAAAATGGACAACAGATGCCAGGCTGCTGCGGCTGCATGTCATCCATATCTGTGCCATTTTTTCTAATCACTCACTCTTCTGTCATGGCTGCTTTATCATTCCATTACAAATACACGCTGTCCATCATGGCTTTACTGCACAAGTCCTTTGACATGATAAGCTGATGGGGGATACTGGGTACATTGAGATGATTAAAAGTATATGGGTGTGAGGAGGAAAGATTGATGCTCTGATAGACTGTAGTCTCTCCTCTTTGACCTCTGCCTGCTGCCATGAGCCGACTGCATCCTGATTCTACTGTAACCCAGTGATGAACCTCTGTAAGCCCATCAACACTCTGGGCTTTATCCTCCATTTTCATTTATTGTAAAACCATTACCTAATCAGCTCAACAGAACCTTCAAGGGATTAGATTTTTTTTCCTTCTACTTAACTTCTCATATCCTCAATTAAATCTTTTTTATAATAATGAATAGATCCCTGCTGATTATTCAAATACCATTCTCCTCTCTTGTTTTGTACCTGCCACAACCKTCTGACCTTCATCGCTCGTGTTTAAATGGATGCAAGGGCGGCCTGCCGTCAGCATCTTGGCCATTTGGCCGWGTGATGAATGGCAGTAATTACCTGTAGACGTAATTAACGAGGTCCAGGAACTGGGCGTTTAACTCAAGCTCATCTGGGAAACGTTTCTCTATGTAGGTCATCATCTTCACCAGCAAGATGGACTTCTCACGCAGGTTTGGCATCTGAGAGGAAATGGATTTTCAACTACAGTTACAGCCTCCAGGAATGCTAACCTTATAAGAGAGTCATTTTTATACTATATAAAAATATACATATATAAATTTAGTTTTCCATTTTATTTTTTGGTTCTTTATCTAAGTTAGTACTGTTTCAAAGTTGGGCTCTCTCACTTATAAAAAGTGTTCTCACCTGGTTGGCGGCCATAGGAGAGTTGTTTTTCACCCACTCTTCCACGATCTTGACCACGGCTCGGAGGATTTTGGGGTCGGGCGACTTTTCGATCAGAGACGTAAGAATGACCTGGATGAAGTTCTTCCTCATCTCCATGCTCATGACAGAAAGTCGAGTTTTCACCAGGTCAAGACTCAGCATCACCAGCTCGCTTGTCACTGTTAGAACAGAGCCAAAATATGTGGCTGAGACAAAATGCACRTTTAAATTGTTGTGATGTCAGAAATCAGGGTGTTGTAGGACTGTGTTCCCCCGTTTTTACCTTGTACCATTAAAAACACCTTCTATAGTCACACCAACAACTATGTTGTTGTGTGTCTATTCGTTTTCCTCGTTTTCCTAAGCCAAAAAGCAGCTCAGCAGCTTCAGTACAACCAGGATGGAAGAGCTTGAGTCAAGCTTATTGAATTACTGAAACCTGAAGACTCTTAAGAGGCGAAGGCCTAGCTGGTCAGATAGCCTTTGGTCTTAGTGACTGTAACTACTCATGGTGGGGAGGTTTAATGTGTGTGTTTCCCGATACAGTCATTAGGGACCCATTTAAAGCACTGATTGTATCTTATAGCCATTACCTCCCATGTGAGTAACAACAGAAACTACTGTAYGTACTGCCAGAGCTGGGGGTCAAGTTAACTTTGAAAAGTGAATACTAAACCACAGTAAAAATTGTTTAATTATAGCAAAGCTAAACAAGTTATACAGATTTTTCATTACTATTACCACATCAATGAGTATCAATCCTTATAAGCCCAACGATTAAATGAACAAGGTGTTTCTTTATACGAAGAGACAAAWGAGGATAATAGAGACTTGAAACCAAAGTAGAGGAACAGTCCCTGTGAAACCAGACTATCTGTGGAGAGGATATCCTCTAACCAAAGAGAAGGACAGAACCTTTGATACGAACTTTGTTTGGTACCTGGTACTGTTGAGTTACATGAGATGTCTGAGCTCTGCAGAAGGTCACAATGTGAGAGTTGTTCAACCTCTTGTTGGATAAATGTTAGCCGTGGATTTTAATGTCCAAGAATGTGGACTGGTGCACTGCTGCAAGGCAAGTTTTTGTCCTCATGTAACTACGGATGGGTACCAGGTAGTTTTTCAGCCCTAGTGCCATGTGATTAATTTTGACTGGGTTGATGAGCTCTATCCTTAACTGTATCGTTGACTGTACCAGAGTAGTGGCATGACTAGCCTAAACCCGGTGCATACTGTGTTTAGATTTAGTCCAAAATAACGAGCTCTCTTTTCTTTTCTTGCCTCTGGCAGTTTATTTCTCCTATTCTGTCAGACTCAGCACAAAGGGGAGGGGCTGCTAACAACACAGGATTTCAGCGCTGATGTGACCTGCAGGTGCAGAAAAAGACGTGATGTCACATTCTCAGCATGGTGTTTACAAAAGTAGCCTACGGATGCTACGCGTTAGCATGCTGATTCTGAAGTCGTTCAATCAGAGCCGTTTAAATAAATAATCTGGCATGCTTGTTTAGTTCAGTGTTTATTTCTAAACCTGCCTCTGACCAGATGCTCCGGTGCAGCATTGTAATTCTGGAATGAATTGACCTGCTAAAAGAGAAGCATTGAGTGAGTAACTTTAGTATCAATACGGTCCACGACCGGCCAACGTTAGTCATATGTTTCTGCGGAATCTCAGTCATCCAGGACACAGAAAATTAAAAGAAAAAAGATGAGGCAACTGGACTTCTGTTCTGTAGCTAAAGACATGTGGAGCTACAAGATTTAAACAGCATTACTCAAGGTTAGAGGATCGATTTTGGTTTCATTGCCACAAAAAAAGCATCGATAAGAGCACTGGTAAAATACCGGATCGATGAGCAATATCGATAAAAGTGGTATTATTGATAAAATCTGAATGATATCCATCCCTACATGTAACYGCCAATCATAATCTTTATATTTAAACAAGGCATGAGCCAGTTATTAGTTTCAAGGTACATACTGTATACCACAGTGACACAAAGCCATGGTGTAAAAATCATTAGATTTTTCTGTCACACTGTTAGCTTCAAATACCAGAAACAAGATAATGGAAACAAAATGTAATATTTTTTATTTCCTCACCTCATTATTGCTGACTGAGAATCAGCCGAAACGTATTTGTGAGATCTAATGGAGTGCTGTGTGGATGGGTAAATGAGGGCACAGATTGTAGAGTAAAGCGCTTTGAGTGTCCTGGTTGGATAGAAAGGCACTATATAAGTACAGTCCATTTATTATTTACCATGTTGCTGGGAGCTACATTCATTTGTGTACAGTAGCCATGGGGGGAATTTTCTGAAACTTTTATTTTAAAATACTTCTTTGGTTGGATAATAGTACATCATGTCTTGTATAGCAAATGTGCCTTTTTCAAGAAATTGCTATTTTGAATCAAATGTTTGCAACAAACTACAGGAGTTAGCATGTTAGCAGGTAAAACACACACAGCCTACTGCTCCAGACTTATTATAGAGGCTAACAATTCATCTAATTAATTAACTAACACCAGCTTGCAAAGCTCTAAAATCAAGGTCATCATAAAGTCAGAAACTCGTATTCTAATACTACGTATATACTTTATGCCTATCTAAGACATAAATCTTTGACCAACAGCCTCAAGTGAAATAAATTCCATTTAGTACCATTCCCATTCAAATCTCTCCTTGGTATTAAAATTAAAAAAATAAAATAAAGAGTAAACCCGAAGTAAGTAAGTAATATGCATACTTAAATAAATTTTCATAATACATGCCTGTATGAGTACCTGTACTGGTTTCAGTGACCCCTGGGTTTGCCTGCTGGGGGCTGAGGTGTTCCCGGACCATCTTCTGTAGTGAGCGCATGAACACAGAGATGAGGCGGTCGATGTAGCTGGCGTTGTAACTACAGGCRGACTTCAGGATCATTAGAGTTCCTAGCAGACAAATGAAGGGGAAGAAATGAGGATGAAGGGAGCAAAAACCTGGAAATACAACAATCTGACAGGAACCTTAACTTCTCCTGGGTAAGTTAACGGGCACGCACACAGCTGTAGTCAGCTGGTATTCATTCATGCCGCATGACAATGTATCTGCTGTGGGAGGAAGAATAATGAGTAATGTCCTACTCAGCTGCTGCTCCCTGGAGGGGGAACAATGTTAAAATGTCACCCCCCCTGGCCGAACAGATGCATCACATCAGAGTTACCTCACAGCAACAGAGAGGTACCAAAAGCATCAGGTCAGCATCGAAAACTGTAAAGTACTTTAAACATCATTTTTATACAAATACTTTGACATCTTGGTGGACGTGAGTAATGTTCATCTCTTGGGTGGCCAAGAGCAGCAATCCTTCCTTCCCAAGATAATCTGTATCAAACCAGATGTTAGCTTCAGCAGCAGAACCCACCAGCTTGCATTTTAATAACACACTCATTGGTTTAATTGCTACAAGTCTCAGATCCTACTTGATTTTGTGGGAGGAAGGTGAGGGTGTAAAGCAGTAGGGGGAAAACCAGTGATTGAAGAAAAATGAAAGCAAAAAAGGACGAGCAGTTCTTACCAAAAAGCTGTGTGGGGTTAGTGTTGGTTGTTGCTTTTTCATAGTTGGTAAGCCCCTCGTAGATAACTTTGCCCACAGCAGCATAGAGACACTCCAGTTCCTCATACTTGGAAGCCACGGTTGATGTACCTGGAAATAAAATATGTCTGCTTTAAAGAAAGACAAAGAAAACCACAAGAAACAACACATTTTGATGTTTTTATAAGAGTGCAACAAGAGAGAAAACAAAAAAGTAAATATCAATAAAAAAGTTAGTTTATTGGGTTTAATGAAGTGCAGCATGGAGTTAACAAGGACTCAATAACAGCTGCTTTTCTGAGTCTAAGATTTCAACTAGTCTCATGTTTTGGTGAAAAAATGAAGGCATAAATGACATTTATATTTCCAGGAATGGTGCAAATTGTTTTAACTGGTACAACTCTTCTTGATGTAGTTTTCCACTCAACAAGGCGATTAGTTCACGATCATTAAAGCTTGTTTAAAGCTGCTGGGACACAGACACACTATTTTCCTGCGACATCCATTAAACTATATTAAATGGATTTAACTTTCACTTTTATCTAAACCAATCTACAAATGTTGAGTAAAGAAGAGTAAAGATTGACTTTAGGGACAATGAACAGAGTCAAACTTTCAAACAACTTTATTGAACAAGGACATATATTAGAATTTAAAGGGGACCTATTATTCAAAATTCACTTTTTAAAGGTTTTTTTACTCAATTTTGGGTATGTACTGTACTTCTTAAAAAAAGGTCCTAGGACCAAAAAATGCACCCAGGGGCATATTTACTGTAAGTAARTGTATTTTTAATGTATATTAATAACAAGTTTTATATTTCCTACATTTTGTGATGTCACAAGCCGTACGACAACCCACCGGAACCTGTGTTCAGACCCTCACCTAGCAACCCCCGGGTGAGACTCCTCCTCCTCAGTATAAAAGCCGTCATGGTTGTTGTTGTGCAATGTGTAGCTCGATTCACAACAAGCCTTCCAACAGGGCAGTGGGTAGAGTGTTGGGCCAGTGAACGGGAGACCAGGGTTCGAGACTAACACGGACCGAAATGATTTAATTATTTATTTTCGTTTGTTATGAACACGTTTTCTCATGTACCTATATTGTTTAGCTTGAGCCTATTTGTTCGAGTTTCTGAGGTATTTTGACCGCTGCTGCTCCAATAGCTGGGTTTCAGTCACGTGAAACCCTCCTATAGTATTACCTGCCCTGGCTGGTAACAGCATGCAGAGTGAGCGCAGAGCTCCGACACAGGAGGAGGGGGAGAGAAAAAAAAAAGAAGCTGCGACCACAACTCTGCCTCTGGGTCTGACTCAGGGTCTCATATATACGGTTGTACAACGGAGCTTCTGCTATTTCTAGCCATGCTAAAGTAAATGCTGGCTCTGGAGGACGGACTTTGGAGGGCGTTACCAACAGAGCTCATTAACATAAACAGCTTGTTCTGAACGGAAGTCAGAGCAGGCAGAACTAGAAAATGGGAAATTTTAGTATCTGAGCATTATTTTGTGCATTAAATTGAATGAACATGGTGTGGATAGCCCACAGACATACCATAAAAATTTCTAGGACCCATAATTGGTCTCCTTTAAGAACAAGGGTGGTTATTTTCTCTGACCAGTCTGCTGTTTGCAGTATTTCCAAGTTAATGTATAGAATTAGATTGACTTGTAGGAAGTACCGCCAAAGAACGCATTAGTATATGTTTTGTAGTATTATCTACAACAGAAAACCAAAAACCACAGAGTAAAATGGTCTGTACTTATATAGCGCCTTTCTATCCATCCAGAACACTCAAAGCGCTTCACACTGCAGACATTCACCCATGCAYACACACATTCACACACTGATGATGGCAAACTACAATTGTAGCCGCAGCTGCCCCGGGGCACACTGACAGAAGCGAGGCTGCCATACACAGGTACCACCGGACCCTCTGACCATCATCAGTAGGCAATGCGGGTAAGGTGTCTTGCCCAAGGACATAATGACTGAGTCGACTGGACGGGGATCGAACCGGCGACCTTCCTGTTCCAGGACGACTCCCCTAACCACTCTACCACAGCCGCCCCAAGTAGTACCATACCATTAATGTACAGTGCCACAGGCTTTCAGAGCTTACTTGGCTCAGTGGGGAAGATGCTCATCAGACGAGAGAGAAGGGAATGGACCGCCCGCAGAATTTTCGTGTTGCCACAGGTCATGCATGCAGCGATCCCCCGTTGGAGAGGCTTAAAATGGGCCAGGATAGCAGGCGACTGCAGCACCGTCAACAGGAAGCAGAGAATCTCCAAACCGGTGCAGATGTTAGAGATGTTAGCTTGCGCTGGCTGTTCCTGAGAAGTCGTAGGGGGGGAAAATGTTACCAAATTGCTTTTAAAGCTGATCTTTTTAGCCATACATTTACATATTCAGCATAGATTTATGGATTAACCAAAACCATTTTAATCCAATACATTTTCATGCCAACAGAGTTAATAGTCCAAAATACAGCACCAATACTACTTTCACACAAAAACAAGGCATCGTGATGGCTGCTAAATCAAAGATCAATGGCCTAATTTTGTCTAAATTGCAATCAAGGTTTACACTGGCAGGGCCAAGAGGATAATCTTCCACAGATTTATGGTGCTAATCTTGCCTAATGAACAAGGTGACTCTTGTGATAAGGCTAGTAGTAGATATTAGGGTCTTATTGATTTGGCAGTGTATTAACAGAGGTTGTCTTCGAAGCCCAACAGAATAAATATATCAGTGCAAGTGAATGGGCTTGTGATTGTGTGCTGATTTTGTCCCCTAATTCTTCACATCTAACCTCTTACGCCACTCCCCCAACTCCTAATCACTGTCATGTCAGTACAATAACATGATAAAAGGTAATCCGATTGAGAGCATTGTTCATTAGTCTGAGTGGGATGGCTGAGCAGGTAGAGCACCCTCCCATAGGGGAAGATCCTGTGTGTGTCCATCTACATAAAACCCACAGAAAGGCTTGTTGTTCAGACTAGCCTCTTTGGGATTTAGAGGGGTTGACTCCATGTGCCGGTGCGTGTGGGGACAGAGTGAAAAGCCTTGCCGATGAAGTTATCCCCAGAAGAGAACAAGGGAAATGCGTGACAATTGCCAGCACATGCTGAAACCCCTGTCTGATCAGGCCATGGCGAAATGAATAAATAGAAAGTGAGAGAGAATGGGTGAGGGAGGGAGAAGGAGCAGGCTGAGCTAACAGCTTGGACTGAAAAGAGGAGATGAGAAGAGGAAGTGGTTAGAGACTGAGGGGAAAGGCGAGGAGATATGCAGAGAGCCACAGCGGGAACGATACGAAAAGCAAGGATGAGGATGGAAAGAAGAAAGGTTGGGGTGAGCTGACTAGGAAGGCGCAGGCTGATCCAAACAGGCTCCTGTTATCTCACCACTGTCATTATTTTGTCATTATTGCTGTTGGCGCCTCACTTTGTGTATTACAGATAACAGACAAAGGACTCTGAGGTGATAGAACAAACACTAAGATGGATTTTAAGTGGAAACTTCTCCAGGTGGGCACTAGTTGTTTGCAGCTTATTGTTGGGCAAAATAACAACAGCAAGCTAGAATACTTTTCACTTCATTTAAGTTGTTTGCTGAAAAATACTAAACGGGACTTCTAGTACAAGCACTTTCAAATACTTGGTGAAATGTACATATAGACATACAAATTTTACTGAACTTGAAAAAAAAACTAAATAAAAGTAAAGGCCTAACCTTTCGTAAAGGACTGCGTCACGCCCCAACTGTCATGGCAAATTTTTTAACTAAAATTGTAATATGTAGAATATGACCTAGAAAATATAATTCACACCAAATTTGAGCTCAGTATCTGTAGATTTGGCTGAGTTAGAGTCATTTTTTGTGTTTGATAAGGTCTCTTAACTGTGGCAGCCATCTTGAATCAGGTTGGATACAAAAAATAAATTGTTGCAGTCGTACATCAAATAAAYACTTACTGAGAGCTTCATTAAAATCCAGTGGTTTATGTACATTTTTGTTAACAAACAGGCAAACATTATCRCCCACTACAAAAATGCAATACAAGTGCATGAAAAGTATGGAGAAGAATAGGAGAGTGATGCTGCGCTTCACACCCAAAAATTTACCAGTGTGAATGTGGCTATATGACAGATGACAGCAGTATATATTTTATGCATAATGACAATCATTCTGAAGGCACATGCCATCTTACCACTGTCATTAGTAGCTTGTCAAACCACTGCAGCTTGAGCTCAGCGCGAGGCCACATATCAGGCCTGAGGGCAGTTTTCATCAGGCTAACGCAGCGGCGGGACAGCAACTCCCCTGGAGACCCAGCCACATTGGTGCTTTCATTCACCTACACACAAGCAGGGGAGGAAGTCTGGTGTCATTATCATTAWTAATAACACTGGGGCTTCATTTTCAATATCACAATGGTGTCCTGAAGAGGAAAGRAACCACACAAGGCAATAGGAGGCAGGGAGTGTAACCATATACTATAATGGCATTAAYAAGGTTCAAACGTAGCGAGCTTCAGAAGCAGAACCGTTCTTCTATAAAAGAGCTTTGGTRCAATCCTCCGCAGTGACAATCATACACACTGCAGGCACATCCTTGACCAAGACACTGAATCCCTATCAGCTCTAGGTGTGGTGTCCTTTAGCTGATGTTAATCCCCTGGGCCASTGAAAACATATTTTTCTACAGGGATCAATTTAGTATCACAATACACTGTTATCAGGTRGAATACAAAGAGAAGATTATGTTTCTATAGACTGCTTTGCTAGCAGTGAGTGATCCCCAGAGGTAATACAGAAAGTTATTTTTAGTGATGGTTGGATGAACAGGAAAAAAAAACGAAGCTTGGCCCAAAAATGTAGCAAAATTCAAGGTGACTGAAATTTCAGGAGACTATTTTAGGCTTGAAGTAAAGGTCATAGCTGCCACTAGAACAAGGGACAGATGTGAGGGGACRCATAAAGACTCTTTTTTTCTGTTTGTACTTGTTCAGCTGTTCTTAAGAAAAACCACCTTAAGTTTTAGGACACTGTAAAATACATTCCAAAAGCTCATTTACAACAAGGTTAGAACACTAAAGGAATTATGTGTTCACAAGAGCAACCATTCAAACACACAGTATAGATGAACGAGTAGCAGGTAGTAATGGTGGAGATCTTACCTGGCATGCAATCCTAATAAGAAAGTTAACAACAGTATCTGTATGTTGTTTCTCAACAGGTTTGGTGAGCATGGTTTCAGTTCCTGGCATGGACTGGCTACGTCCAAACACCTAAAAATATTTACAACAGTCAGGTGTGGAGAAAATTGGTCAGATATTTTATGTGGACRTTACTTGCAACAAAACAAATAGACTTATTAACAAAAGTGTGAACAGACAGCAGCATTTATCTTCTGAAATTCAGGCCAAAGAAGCTGGAAATCACATGCAGTTTTACAAAAACTGCATAACTAGAAACTCCATAAGGCATCCCATGCAGCAAGTGTGAAACAACAAAAATCCTGTATATTGGCTTTTCCCCCAAACTCTTTCAATCAGTCGTGTTAAACAAATCAGTGTTGAAAAGATGAATGAATAAAATAGCTGTTTCCTTTTAACCTATTTAGCATTATGTACAAAAAGAAAAAAAATAACAACAAAGAGGAAAATAAACACACTTAGCAAAGAGCCAAGGGGTAAGAGGATCCTAATGTCTGGGCGTGGGCATCTGTCATGTAAACCAAAATTCATCTGGAATCTGATTATCACTGATTTCGCTCACCGTGGAAGCAGCACCGGCTGCAGTACGGAATCTTTTGACATCCTGTCCAGCACCGGCAGACTCAAGAGATAGACCTCTTTTCACAGCTGGCCCGCTTGTTCCTTCACCGGTCACRACTTCAGACTCAGACTCCGGCTAACGCACCAAACAGACAGGCACAAGTCAGGAAAAATCACAAGTTTCTCTCAGCAACTAGTTTAACATTAAAAAAGATTAATTTGGTTAAATAACAAGGACCTTGCATCCACAGTAAGACAACATTTTTAAACAGTCTGGTAACAATGGACATGTTTGCCAACAGGACAAACATGTACACACTTGTATCTATGACATCAATTTGARCAAGTCGGAAAAAACTGTGAAATCACCTGCTGGTCTTTAATCCTCTGTAACTCCCACTTAATGACCACCTCGGCCAAATCCACAGCCAGCTTCCTTTGCTCTATGGTCACACTGGGCGTGAAGCCCAGACGCTGCATCGCACTGATCATGTGCTGCACCAGGTGGTGGCGAACAGGGTAGTACACCTAAAACACAAAAACACTGAATCAAGTAAGTGAGAACATTTTTCATWTCCGTCGAGCTTCAACTGGGTTTTCAGCAGAATTAGTAGAGTGCATTCCCGCATTTTAGAATTGCGTWTTATTATTTCTGGAAAACAGCTTAACTCTTTTAAACTGCACTTYATGATTTTGATCAGGGTAAACTTTATATGTTTGTTTTCATAGTCTGCACAAAGTAAAATGCATCAAAACAGTAAAGCTGCAGCGCTGCTAATGAAAAGACTAAACTCTAGTGGTAAAAAAAAAATAGTATTTCAGCACTTCTGCCAAGAAATAMACACAACAAAGAGTTAGGTACTCTCTCCTCTGTCTAGGGATGCAAACAATTAAYGGATTTACCATTAATTTGTTCCATTCGATTAACTGATAACGTCCTCTTAGACAGACCGGAAAGATTGCGACTCTGTTTCAAAATGAGTCACATGYAGAGATTTCAAACTTTAAACACGTTTTTTAAATTGTGTCGATAGGTCAAGTACAACGGCTCAGTGGTTAGCACCGACGCCTCACAGCAAGAAGGTCCTGGGTTCGATCCCYGGTTCGGACCTGGGGTCTTTCTGTGTGGAGTTTGCATGTTCTCCTCATGCTTGCGTGGGTTTTCTCCGGGAACTCCGGTTTCCCCCACCCCTAAAAACATGTACAATAGGTTGCCTTCAGGCCTAGGCCTCCCTTGAAAAAGAGATCTGAGATCTCAATGGGACTTGCCTAATAAAATAACGGTAAATAAATAAAATAAATAAAAATTTATAAAAGTAAAACTGGTGTTWTGATAAGTAATAAACTGGGGCTGGGCGATAAAATGATAATGATTTATCTCGCAATAGGCACTTGATCGATATCAACAGAAAATACGTTCATTAGAACGTTGATAATTTAACTTACGAAAGTTTACAAAATTTGCGTAGGGAAATTTKTCTTTATTTGTCTTCCTCTGGCTTCACAAAATAACTGCTGTCACCACCTCGCTGCGCAAGACGTTTACTAAATTTACAGAGAGGGAAAARTACAAGTTACAGACCCGAAACAACAAACGTAAACAAATACTGAAGCTAACCAGTCGCTAAAGCCAGCTAGGCAAGTTGGTAGCATCAAACTTACTCACTCTTTGATAAGCTAGCAACAACCTATTGAGTGRCACGYGCAGCAGCAGTTTCATGTTTCTCCACCGTTTCTCATAAATGCTTCAAAATAACTAGATACTGCACAGCGTTAGCAGATATGATCCCTGCACACACACAAAGCACCAACRCACCAGAACTCARAAGACACCAGAACGGATTTATTGTTTTGGGTGGGTGGTTTTTATAGTTTGCATTGAGCACCTTAAAGTTCAAAGTGCATCCAATCAGTAAATGCTGGCAAACATAAAAGTTGAAAGATATATATTGTTTAATTTTGTGGGATTTGCACACACACATTGTGTGATTAACACATGCTGCACCAAAATGGTTGCTCAAGCTGCTTTGAGACTTGAAAGTCAGAATGAGCAAAGAACAACTATTTCTTCTTATTAGTCTCAAGGACATGATGACGCACTCTTAGCTCGGAGCCTTCATACACCCAAGTGTCACACTCAAGAGTCACTTATCTTTTAAAAACTGAACTGGGGCTCTCAAACACACATGCAGACAAAGGAGCCAGAGATGTGATGCCTATCTGAGCGCCGTTGTCAGTGTCAAAGTATATTAAAGCTTCTCACTCTGAGGGTAATTATAGTCGATAGAGCAGGACTCTATCGCCTCTTAATGACAGAGTGGCTWAGCCCTGTCCATCACGTGTGCACACAGACAAACACGCACACAATCTCTCTATTACTTTATGAGGCGCACACATACACAAAGTCTCATCTGTCTGTCATTATCTCCTCCTCAGTGTAATTATGCTGATGTGATTACATTAGATTAGTCATCTGGCCCAGTGAGAGCCGCCTGTCAGAGAGACAGAGAGGGGAGCTGAGGGAAATGTCAGTCTTCTGCTAAAAGACCGTCGCTGTCTGATTTGGAAAGCAGCGAACATCAGCTGAARGAGCGAGGGTGTGAAAGTGTCTTTCGGGTTTGGGGAGCAGGGCAAGCCTAAAGACAAACAACCTTCTGGTGTTAACTTTGACTCTAATAAACACATCTGCAAAGACTGTATCTGAAAAGGCCTCTTCTGTAAGGCAAACAAAAGCGGAAGCCAGTCAACGCTGGCTGCTTTAAAAAAAATCTAGATGTTGGAAAACAGAGCCCCTATACTTAGACTGCAGTTGGCACAATCCAGTGGGACTTGTAAAGAAGTCTTGTGTAATTTGGGGCACTCAGATAATCAGTGAAAATAGCTCCTCAATTGTTCACCCCGATGCTTTTCTCTGCAGTGAGCTGGCAGTGGCAACAAACACTCATATGTGTGCACTCAGGTAACAATYACAATCTCAATATTTATGGTGGCAGCTTAGTTTAAAGTACCACACAGATGCTAACATTCAGTAGTTAAAGTATTTAGACAAATCTTTCGAGAATGTGTTTTGGAACAAAACAGAAATTTGATATATTTGATTGACTGATCTATTGGGATCCAATACATTTTGGAAGGYGTGTTCTGGCAGGGGGGAAAAATAACCCACTGAGCGAGTTTGATTTCTGCTCTTGCTTACCCTGAAGTGTTGCACAATAAGATGCAGTATGTGAACAAGCTGTGGCACAGTGTGTCCTTCCTCCACAATGATTTTACGAGTCCAGTGGGTCAGCATCTGGTGGCCGTCCTCCATGCGAGCGGGCACAGCGGGGGTGAGGATGGCCATGGCCTGGCGAACAATGGCCCGGGCTTCCATCGTGTGGGCCTTCAACAGGCTGTGAAAGACCTGTACAGAGCAGGAAACCACAACAAATTCAGTAACCTTCCTGCTAGTGCTGGGCGGTTTACTGTTTTGTACCTAATACCGGTCTTTATTTTTGCTATGATATGAATTTTCTGAATACCGGACGTACCAGTTTAAATACCCTGAAGTGCGGAACGTTTCGTCGCGGCCGCCAGTAAACTGTTTTCCGGGGGACACTTTTCCTCGCAGCACCGCTATGTGCATTAGCATGCTAATGTTATTGTTGGAGCAGCTTGTTGAGGCAGCGGGTGGCGATTCCACTGCTTATATTGACTGATGTGAAAAAAAACATCCCATTTTCGCCATCGCTGAATGTAGTAAACACCTCTTCAGTGACGTGCACGGTTAGATTTAACGCAGTTAGTTAATATGRAGACGTTATGCTGATGGAGACTTAATGTGGTTCTATTGTGAAAAGCCCGCAGGAAGTAGTTTGAAGTGGAATTGGAATTGACTGGTGTGCAAGGTGAGTCGTGCTGATACGCTTTATTAAATAACATAAAACAAAAGACCCATTCATAATCTTTTCCTAACCCTTCTCCTTCACGACCGGACCAAAATGTGTGACTACTGTCTCCAACCATCAGCCAGAGAAAAGACACATAGAGGAGGGAAACAGCGACACAGACAGAGGTACAGTAAAAGAAAAAAAGTTAATAAGCAGTGTTTGTACATTTTATTATCAGCTGAAAAATACCGTGATATACCGGTACAGGTAATGATTTAAATTATCATTTAAATTTGGGTCATACCGCCCAGCTCTAATTCCTGGTTTTTCTCCTCTGCCTGTAACAGTTCTTAAAGTTGTGTTTCCCGAATTTGAACGCAAACCCTGAGCCCACATTAAACGTTACATAAAAAGACAAGAAGCTAAGGACATGTGTAAATCAAAAACAAACAAAATGTCTCCGCTGAATTCCAAACATAATTGGAATTTTTAATTGAACAAAGTAAACAGATTTTTGATTTCTCACTCTTTCTCCCATCAGCTTTATGAGTTTTTAAAAGATTTTTCTATATTTTATTACTCCTCACCTGCAGGACGATCTTCTTGTGAATGGCAAACTTTGCAATGATGTGAGCGAGGAGTAAGTGTCCGCTGTATTTGCAGGCCGGGTCTACGCAGGCTTTGGGCAAGAGGCACGGCCAAGCGAACGTCATGAGGCGACGCAGTTTGCTGTTGCGTGACTTGTTGTTGTCGTGAATGTGGTGGGGAGCATGCTCCACTAGCAGGGTGGAGAACTGAAGGAGGCAAATTCGCAGTGAGTCCAACAGGTCAGCCTGCTTCTCTGGGTCCAGAACCTCGAGGAAAGGTAGGAAATATCCAGCGTTAATGTTCAGATGAGGCTAAAACAGATAGTTACTGGTACGAACACACAAGAGTGAACACAGTGTACTTGTAGGAAAATGTTAGTCATTAAAACAAACCACAAGATGTGGACAACACAAAAAGATTTTTCTGTCAAACTAAAACATCTGTAGCTTAAACTACTGCTAGTGATTTTTACCAGCTGAAGAAAAACAGATCATTTGTATTGAATGCAGTGTCTGAAATATTAAAGTTCACAACACAGTCTGCTTCTACACACTGAAAAACCCTTCTTCCACCAACAAAATACCAATCACCATGTGAACCGCCTGCAGAGGAGATACAGAAGCAAGGATGCCGCATACAGAGAGGGAGGAAGGTTAGGAAGGAAATGAGTTTTAAGCAGACGGTAGAGGAGCCATTAGCAGCCATTAGGACTGCTGTTAGTCAATGATGAGACTTGCCACAGCACAAACAAACATGCTGACCTTTAGTACAGTCACACACTGGCATTTACAAGAAGAATTATGGTCTGGCCTGATGAATGAAATGTGATGTAAACAGAAACCGATCACTTGACGTTAATAAGAAGGAAGAGTAAAGAGAGAAAAAGCGCTGAAAGGCAGAGGGAACAAATAAAACAAAAGCAGCTATGTGATAAAATATAAGGTGAMTCGATAGAAGAAGATTCGTGGGATGGTGTTGATGATGTCTGAATTTGGAGAGACGCTGGGTTATTGACATTATAAAAAGAAATTTGGCAGAAAATTAAAATCACAAATGGGTGGGCAGAAAGAGAAGCAGAAAAAAAGGGAAGAACAAAATCCTCTAAAACGTTAATACGTGCACTCGTATACCTTCGTGATGAAGACGCTGGTAATGCTCTCAGGGTTGTCTCCTTCGGGGTTGGGTGGTCCGAGCAGCTGCTCGCCTTCCCCCTTCTCAAAGCTGTGCAGGAAGGCAGGGTTCAAGATGTGCTGCAGCACCTACAGGAGAGGAAACCATTTCAATGATTTTTGTTGAGAGAATCCAAAACATTTTGCCGTTTCCTCTTTTCTGCAAACATCTTTTAAACTTCTTTGCAGAGATAATTATTGCCGTTGTGGATTGTTCACCTTCAAGAAAGCAAAAATTATTTTAAAAGCAACATAAAAGTCAAATTTGCATTCACAGCTCTCTGTGGTTCATAGGGGAAACATGCTGATTTAAAATCTATTCTAACCTTTTTTTTTTTGACAGATAACAGCAGTCAGAGCACACTGGAAGACTTAAGGGACAATAATGTTTGTTATAGCAATAGTACAACAGATTCATGATTAACTTAAAAATACAGAATAACAATAACCCAACTACCATACAGCTAAGGAACACATTTATTAATGAATGCCCCCAGTCAATCCATCACTGGGGGACAGGACACAGCTCACTGAAGAATGAGCCGTAGTTTTGTACGTTCCAAATTCTGCATTAGCACATTTTTCACACACTGTGCAGTGAAAACATGTGGCTAATGAACTCACGCACATGCACAAACACAAACACAAACACAGTCAAATAAAAACACAAAGAAAAGCAATAATCACCTCGTTCTCTTTCGGTTTCATCTGTTTTTATGAAGTTTGTGCTTCTCTCAAATAAATCATGGGATTTGTTATATGATTAACTGTTAGCTCTGATGGTGACTTCATTCTTTCTTTCTTTTTGTAACAGATCTGATTCATATTTGGATAATCACTCAAAACGTTAGTCAAGCTTTATGTTGGGATCTGTTTCTATAGTTTAGAAAGGCACAATTGACTTTTGKTTGAAGCATAATCACATCAGTTTAGGTGTGGCGGCCATCCTGAGATGGGGTGTAAGAAAATATTTTATGTGGAAATATTGCAATATTTGACTTCCTGATACTGCTGATTCTCTAAAGCACTGTAACGATTTAATTGAGGGTTAAAATTTAAACTTTATGGCAGCAGTTCCTTTTTGTGTTGTAGTGTAGCCTYYAACCACTAGTAGGCAGCAGTCAGCCATTTGGCTCCTCCTTTCCTGAGCAGCCTGAGAAAAATTTTAGCTCAAAGGTTAGCATCGTGAATTAACATTAGCATTAAGTACCGATGGCTGAATCTGAGTGGATTAGACCGGCACTCGCTGCCTTCAAAGCTGAGGTAGGGTTGCCAACTGTCTTGAATTAGCCAATGTCTGTTTTTTAAGCCAGATTAAAAGTATCCCTTACAAGACACTCTTTCTCTGGTTTTCTGACTGCATCCTGCAATCAATACGCTAAGCAGGTTGGCATTTGTCTAGGGCCCTGAGCTGAAGAGAAGTTACAAGGGACTGTACTGAAGTGGCTTAACGACCATATAAAAAAATCACTCATATGACTGGCGTACTCGTGCAACCCCCTTAATGATAGGAGCCCCTTGACAGTAACGTGTGRCGTAGCAGCTTTATTTGATATGACTAAACTGAAAGTTATAGACTATTGTTAGACTGGTGGGTTACCATCATTTTATTATAATTAGGGATGCGCAATATATMRACATTAACATCGGTATTGGCTAATTTTGATTTCCCGCTTATTGATGTTTGTGTTTCTGTTTTGGGAGGGGAAATKTTTGGTGGAGTGGTCTCTGTTGATCTTGATAGTGATAGCTGCTCAGCCAAGAATAACTGAAGTAGAGAGCCACATCAGCAGTCTGGACGTTTTTGACKGTATTTAAAAAAGACACAAGTGTGTTTGTGAGTATATGTATGTTTGTGTAATATGGGTAAATGTCGGTCATTGACCATAACAGCAATAATAATATCGAGTACTGATATTGGTTGACAACTTCATATYGGTCATTACAAATTTTAATATTATAAATCTAAAAGTTGCCACAAATATTTTATCAAACTATCTAATTGCACATTCGGCCTATCCATTAAAGACATGGATCAAATAAGAAATATGAAACACAAATACATATAAAATATACTGTTTTTTTTTTTTTTTCATTTGAATTTTTGAGAAAAAAATGGCCATATGTTGCAATATATCACCTTGGTTACAGTATCACAATATATCATATTGTTACCCCTGTGTCATATTACCAAAATATTGCTAATGCACAACCATTTTCTGAAGTCATTTAAGTCTAAAAGTTCATCAGTTGTAGTTGTGCATCAATAACTACTTTCTGCAAGTGTCATTTAAATTTGTCCAGTGGTAAAAGAGTTGTTTTGTTAACAGACAGACAAACATAGGGCATACATGCAAAAACATAATCGTTTATGTTTGCMTTTCAGTGGAAGGTCATAAAAAGCAGCTAAAAGCTAAAAAAGAAACTAGTAAAAAAATATAGTGGAGGAGCAGCTTGGTGTGTCTCTTTGTTGATGGCAGGTCTGGGATGTTTTGTTGTGACCTAGAACGCACAAAGTCAAACTCTGTAAGAGTCGACATCTTATCCAAATGTGATAAATTACAACGGAAATKAATTCAATTTACCTGGTGTCACACTGCCCCATCAAAAATACTAGAGAGGACGCAAATTTACAGTCTTCATTCCTCAAACCGCTGCGTTCCAAAATAGACTCAAAAACATCTGGCTCTTGCTCGTAAACTAATTACAAAAACTAACGCTGCTGTAAACATTAGGGAGACGCGGCGAGTATGAGCAGCCGCGTCTGCCAATGACAATTTAATGTATTTTCTGTCTTTTCCCACTTACATCCTCAATTTCTGCACTTAAAACTTCAATGTGAGCTGAGAGTCGCTGCTACAGCCCACCAGCTGGCTTCCAGCTCATAATACAGTCCTGTCCTGTGTACACTCGAACTAGTCCCTGTGTAAATATCTGTGGCTGTGTACTACTGAACCACAAAGGAATCAGTCCCCTAAAACTGATTGYCATGTCTATATTATAATGAGTGTTCAACAGAATAAAAATCTGGGCTGCAAACTCAAACACTRACTGGGAGAATTATGGGCTTTTCACATGAGAAGCAAACCGCTTGTACTCACTGTGAACAAGAGCACTGCAGAGTAATAAAACAATGATATGTCAAGACTGCAGTTTCTTTATTCGATGCAATAACATTCAAGCATACAATTTTCAAGAACATAGATAACTTCGATGAACAAGAACAGCTGAAAAAAAACTCTTCAAGTACTCAGTTTGATTTTAATCTATTTTGAGGAAACAGAAGTGGCATAAAAAAGGGAATCAGTKGGTGATATAGCAGCAAACCAGCAGTGTTCTACTTTCTTCATAAGTTTGTTTATTTTATCTGCTTGAAAACAAGTTCACAGATAGTGAAGGAAATTCATTTTAAACAGGGCGATCAGCAAAAAAAGGTGTTTTCTGTGAAGTGTTTGGAGAAAGCAAAGAAACCAAGAGCACCAGCATGAGGTCAGTTTGTTCTAACATCGATGATTTACTGCTGCCGCTTCTCTGCTCCTCGTTCAAACAACTTCTTTTCTCTTCTTACTCAAAGTGAAACATTCTCCAAAAGCCTTGTAAAACTACACTAGAACCTGTTTTTATTTTCCCTCTTTGTTTAGCCTTTTTTTTTATTTTTTTGGGCGCACACATTTTCTTGTGATATTATGCTTCTGGGAAAATGCTACTGGCAATTATTTAAATGTCAGTAGAGGTAACACCCACGCACAGTCTCACGCTCATGACTCACACAAACACAAACCTATCCTCACAGAAACACATCTTCTGTCTCTCTTGGCCTGTGTCGCAGTTAGCGCAGTCGCACACAAGCACAGGACAATTAGGGGAAAAGAAAAACAAAGGGAGAAGATTCTGATATGAGGTGGGCTACGGAGAGCTGCAGCGCTGCTAACCAAAAGACTAAACTCTAGTGGTGAAAAAAAAACGTCTATTTCAGCATTTCTGCMAAGAAATACACACAACAAAGAGTTGGGTACTCTATCCTCCGTCTAGGGATGCAAACAATTAATKGACTTGCGATTAATTGTCAAATAATGGTATATTAGATTAAATTTTGTTCCATTTGATTAACTGATAACGTCCACTTAGAAAGACTGGAAAAATTAAGACCGTTTCAAAATGAGTCAAAAGTAGAGACTTCAAACTGTAAAGCCGTATTTTAANTAAATAAATTCTAATTATAATAAATTAATAATAGTTTTACATCTAAAAATCATATTTTATTATTTTAATCTATTTTCCTCATTCAGCAACCTATTAAATTTCTGTTATGTTTCATGTAGGAGAAATACAGATATACAGAAATACAGGTCTTCAGTTCACCAGAGACACCTGGACAGGTCTCCAGTCTCCATCAGGGACACAACCATCCACAATCTGACGGCGATCCGTCAAAATCAGAACAGATCCTATTTTTGACGGACACCGGAGCTGCGCCGGAGTCAATTTTTAAAGATTACGTCACACCAACAGGAAAAGAAACGAGCACGACATCCGTATTTTCAAAATAAGACACTTTTAGGCTGGATAATTTGTTGGAAAAATGTCGAAATTGCAGCTATATTAATGAATATACAGATATATTTCTACACAAATGGTGTCAGAATGTATCGTTCTGTTTGGGAAGCAGATGGAAATGTAGCATGAAGCATATGTGTACACACACGATACACGTGGATTTTATTTTGAAATCAGAAGTTTCAGAAAGCCGACAGCGAGACAGTTTCAACATAGATAACAAAAGCCTTTATTTCATTGTTTTCAGCTGTGTTTGGAGTTCGTCTTTCACAGAATTGTTTTTTGCTGTGACTTCCAAATTTATCACACTGAATTTATCGCGCGATCTCCTCTGTCGGACCAGAGCGGAGTGGAGGTAGTGTAAACTGGACTTGAAACGCACAGCTGCGACCTGCGCAGCAGAGATGCATGTAGTATAAATCCAGGGTAACAATCCGATCTGATTTCAGCAGTTCGTATGACGCATGTTGCGCGCTTCAGAAAGCTCCGGTTTTTCAGATTAACGGTCGGTGTCGTGTACACCATTGGCCAAATCACAACAGAAAACCTGCGGTTTCACACAATCTGCGTTGTGTTAACGGCCTTAATAATGAGGAGAAATCCACAATTTGTTGTTCATTCAGTCAGTACTTAACACAGCTGGCACAATAAATTGTTAAAATATATCATATGTAAGTAGTCCTTCATGTTATGGAAGGACCCTCTTGATCTCCTGAAGAAATGGGGACTTATCAATTAATCAATCAAATAAGATCAATCAACTTAATATTAATTCATTAATCCATAACTTGCATCCCTCCCTGCGTTGGTACTGTTTCATGGCACATATGTATGGAACAAAAGCAGCACACAGAGCACAAGCAAAAGACCATGTGAAGTTAATGGGATCAAAAACACAGCTGTACATCCTTGTTATTTTTTTAATTTGTTATTTTTTTTGAGAAGGGGTTGATCCTCCTCTTCGTGTTTGTGTGTTAAGCTGTCAGGGCAGGCCTTCCCCACTGACCCATTTTTACTTAACAGCAATGCTACTGCTCCTCTGTGCCAGGTTATGTGCCTGTTACAGCTGTGCAAAATACGTGTCTCTATTTGCCTGAGTGCCTGCATGTGGCAGAGTGAGCTTAATTAGAAAGCAGCCGCAATGACTGCAGTGTTCGCAGCAGCAGGGCAGATAGAGAGGACAAAGTCGTTCAACTGTGAGCCTCTGAGGGTCAGAACAAACAAAATGACCTTCCTGACTCCATCAAAGTAGTTCTGGTGCAAAACACGTCAACCATAAAAGTCACACAGATCAGGTCCCTGAACGCAGCGTTTCCCCACACAGGGAGAGAAAAGTAACTAAGATTAGAAGCGGCTGAACAMAATGAGGGCTGGGCAAATTCATTCACAGTACAAAAAGTCCAGATTATAAAACCAGAGTGATTTTTTTTATTATTAAATCAGTGCAAAACCCTTTCAGGTCAACATATCTACATAAACATGCACCTTTTATGTAGCAGGCTTATAAAGACTGCCAATACACATTAGTGTTTATGTAAAATATAGATTTGTTACACTTTGACTGATAACTAATTATTCATCAGCTGATTATTAGGCACTGGTTGTGCTTTAAGCTCRTTTTGTAACCCAGTAAGGAAAATGTTAACTCAGATTTATTTATACTATGATATGTGGCAGCAAACTTTACTACACTGCTATTAAACTTTAGCTAAAGTTGTTAACTAAACAGGACATTGACTAAGTTTTTCCACTGACACCTCATATTAGTTTCTCTCAGATAATCGTTTTCTTCACCTGACTCTTCTCCTGCCCTGGTCTCTCTGACACTTATCAGGAACATAATTACAGTACAAGGCTGCGGTCTGACAGTGGTATTTMCATTTTCGATCTCTTCGGCATCAAAACTCCTCAGTGGATTCATGTTTATTAATGTTAAACTAGTTGGAAYGTGGCTGCTTTCCTTTATTGCTCCTTCACTGCCAAGCTGTCTTTTAAAGTGTACAAAACACTTTGTCACTGAGGTTGTTGATCTTTAGCATCTAGAAAAGATTTTACTTCTTATTGGTGGATAACGTGAAATTAAAAGGCCTGGCATTTTTTGAAGTAAAAGTTACAATTATTGTGTCGTTTTCCATTCAGCAACCAAATAGAAAATGATGAACGGTTGTACAATCTCTTTAAAATGATTGTATTTTGACCAAAACTCATATGTGCTGAGTACGGGTGTCGTATCAAAAGGTGTGTTGTGTTTACTGAAAATTTGCACAGAAAAGTAGGGGCAAAAAGTGTATTTTGTTTATCTGACAACCCCTATAGAAGAAGCTGTTTGTTCACATTCATGACTAAAGCAAAACTCTTTTCTGCGTTTTTTTTTTTTTTTTTTTTTTTTTTTTTTTTTTTT